GTAGCAAGAAGTGTGTCTCTATCTCTTTTCAGTGTGGTGGATATTCCCGGGGCACTTGGTAATATTTATTTGCCTTCCGGCAGTAGTCTAGTTATAGTCTTCTTTATAATTAGTTTGTAGGCAGTTTTAGGATTTTGTTTGTTTTGTTTTCCTTATGATTTACAGATTTACAGGAAAGAGTTCTATATAATTACAAATTTTAGTTTGTACTATTATATTATTATATCAATAGGACTAGTTAAAGAGACTTGTCAATAGAATGTGTCACAGAAATTATCTATCTTCTTCTATCTATATATAATAATTATATATTTTTAAATTTAAATAATTTATTAAATATTAATTTGATTAACAATTAGTAAAAACTAAATTAAGTAAATTGATATCAAAGATTCTTTTAATAAAATTAAATTTGTATTACAGATAGAAGTTACATAGAGTTATTTAATAAAAATTTTAAAAATTACTAATAAAATACTAATATAACTCTAATATAATAATATATATCTTTTAAGTTGTATTTAATAGTTTTATATTTTTTTTTAATTATTTTATAATTATTTAAAATTTTATAAAAAATAATAATATAAAGATGTGATAACTTAGTGAATTGGTAAAGTTGTCACATCCCAGATAGCAGGTTTAGAGTTCAAATCTTAAGAATAATATTTTTGAAAAATAGCCTTGTAATATAGTTAATAGCTATCATTATTGGTTAGATCCTAATCTGTAATCTTGGTCACACCATCTAAAAAGGAAGAAAACTGTACAAGATGAAACTCTGTTCAACTCAACTACTACCTTCCCACCTCTTGACTCACAAAATTCTAACAAAAGTGGGCTTCCCAGTTTACCCCCAACAAGTATCCAAATGACGTTATCCCAACAAAACAACAACAACAATGACTAAATACAACTGATTTCCATGCCCTGACCCGAACCAGCACCGATCAACGAAATTAACAACAACCAAACACAGATAATTCCCATGCCCCAGTCAGTACCCATGATAATCGACAATCAAAATACAACTGACCCCTAGGCGAGCCCCCTTAACAATCTGGTAGCCTCTTTGACCCCAGAAGGTACCCCAGACGAACCCCAAAACAACTCAGCAGACCTCAACCCCGAGAACATGGATATACAATCCAATGCCACAGTCGAATCCCTTCTAGCCAAAAAATCATATAGCAATGCATTTACCTCCAACTTACCCAAACACTTACTCCAAAACAACAAATCGGGTACCTGGGTTAATTCAGTCTCTCTGGCATTAGCCAAAGCACGTATGCTCGACTTTGATACCACCATATGGAATAATGACCGTATACTTCAGGCATTCTCCTCGGAAGAGCTTTTTGCAGATTTCCTTCTACACAAAGCACAAACCAACCCAACCAAATACAACCTCCCACATGCAATCCAAGAAAAATTTTCTTACCTAGATAC